CTAACAATCTCTCATAGCTTTTTTTCTCCTACCTATGCTCATAGCCTTAAGAGGCTATTTTAGCTTCACCCTAGCGTGTAGATGAGTTCACGGGGCTCAAACCGTCTCATCTATATATAAATGAATGAATTGCTGTTCGCTCGCTCGAGTCTCGCTAAAACTCGAGAACGGCTGGACCGATTTGGCTAATTTTGGTCTTGAATGATGTGGAAGTCCAGAGAAGGTTTAACAGGTAGATAAATATGAAAATTCTCGGAAATAAATAAAAATAACAATTTTGTTTTTCCTTTGATGTGTCCCCCGTCGGACGGATTCCTTTTGTTTGTTTTAAGTTTATTTTATTCAAAAGTTTAGATCTTTTATTTATCGATTGAGGCACTACGAAGTCTGCCAGGTTAGCTAGTAGCTAATATTTTTTAAGCGTATACTGCGTCTAATAGGCCAGGCCATTGGCGTGAGTCAATGGTAAATTTTTAGCTGCATATCGGTTGAAGTTCAAGTGCTACACGATCGTATGTGGTTACCGGGTTTTTAGGAAAACCGCAATCGTATTTAAGCCCAGAGGCTAATGCTTTATTGTGTAATAAACGCGAAAGAAAACTGCGCGGCAGAAATGACCTGTAAAAAATAATTGGTCCCTACCACAAAATAACTGTCTTTGATTTTCTATGGCGAATGGTTATGGTTCGAAGGGCGAAATTTAGGGTTTAGATCCAAATCAATTTTCAATGTACGGTAGGCAAACTAGGCAACGGCTTCGCTCTGTCCCTGGCATTGCTGACGTCGATGACCGACGGTATCCACTCACAGTCAGATGGGACGTATGTACATCTGCCTAAAAGAGCAAAAGAAAACTAAGACTTCCTGTAACTTGTCAATGTTTGGTATTTAAGTGCATTGGTAAGTATAACTTGGAGTACTATGAGATTGGCTATATATTAACTATCCAAAAGAGGTGTTTCTTCATGACTTTTTAGTCAACTTTGTCATTAGTTTTTTCCCTCAACAGTCTTGCTTTACAAACCCTTGAAACAGATAAAATACTATATTTTTACTGATGGTAGGACCTCTTGTGAGTCCGCACGGGTAGGTACCAACACCCTGCCTATTTCTACCGTGAGCAGTAATGCGTTTCGGTTTGAAGGGTGGGGCAGCCGTTGTAACTATACTGAAACCTTAGAACTTACATCTCAAGGTGGGTGGCGTATTGCTGTCTATGGGCTCTAGTAACAACTTAACACCTGATAGGCTGTGAGCTCGTCCGCCCATCTAATAAATAAAAATAATAATCATAATAATCACATCCTTCGTCAACAGATTCACACTTACCCAATTAAGTTCTGATTGAGTGGTTAAATCAAGAATATCTGCGTCCCCCGTAATTAATTGAACTCGCGATAAATTAATGCATGCTCACATCAGCGCGCGAGCAGAATATTTAATACGTGACAGTTAAATTTACGCTACACGTGAATTACTACGAATATTACTTGTCGCTGGGGCGTCGACTGAGAATATACAAATAACAATTTATCTTCGTAGATGCTGTGAGATGTTAAGAATTGTTGTTTTTGTAATTGATTTTTTTTTCTTTTCTTTTCTTCAATTTCCTTTCTTAGAAATGGACATCGATTATGTCTGTACTTTTTTTAGGGAGGAAGGATTACTGGTGGCCCTTACGCCTTTCCAATTTCACCAGGATTAAGAACTTATCTCGTTAAAAAATTAACAGTATTTCACGTGCTTCATTAAAAAAAAATAGTACCAACTTTACTGGTGGTAGGACCTCTTGTGAGTCCGCGTGGATAGGTACCACCACCCTGCCTATTTCTGCCGTGAAGCAGTAATGCGTTTCGGTTTGAAGGGTGGGGCAGCCGTTGTAACTATACTGAGACCTTAGAACTTATATCTCAAGGTGGGTGGCCGGCCCATTTACGTTTTAGATGTCTATGGGCTCCAGTAACCACTTAACACCAGGTGGGCTTTGAGCTCGTCCACCCATCTAAACAATAAAAATAAAAAATAAAAACTGCATACAAATTTAACTTTTACCCTATCGAGAACGTTAAAAACTCACATTAAGCACACCGGCTGATTCAAAAAGCTCTCGATCACAATGAATATTAAATTATAAAAATCAAACAAGTAACATGTATAAAAATTTACGCTACTCCTTTTTTTTGTGTAGGAGTGTAATGTGTTCTCAAGTTTCCCATCCAAGTGGTCCTTGACGAAATATCGGCCAATGTTTTTCCTTCTTCTTCTTCATCGTTCCCTCACTGCGGATCACGGCCACATGGAACATTCATCCATAGTGTTGGGTCAAGGGTGGCATAGACCGTACGATATAGACTACCACCAGCCACTTTCTTAACCGGATCTGACCATCTGGCCGGTGTTCTGCCCACGGCACGCTTGCCTTCTAAGCGACCCAAAAATTATAAGTTTCTCTAGTTCACGTCTCGGAGACCGCATAATTATCCTACCACTGATATTTTAAAATCATATCTCAAAGTTAATGGCATCGACGTTGTTATACGAAATCCATATTAACAACAATCGAGAGAGCTTTTTTTTTGTCTAGAGGGAACCACCGGTCTTCCGCCCTCCACTGAGGATGGGGGCGGGGCATGTCGGAGTGAACTGACTAAAACCTCCTGTCGCTCAACAACCCGCGTCCGAACCTCGCATGAGTCAAAACTCATAAAAAGACAAAGGGGGGAAAGTGACCACTACACAAGTGAGCGCCACGACTACCAGTCCTCTCGGTCGGCAGGCTATCTGAAGCACGCCTAGTGGCGCCGGTTAGAGTGGGTTATCCTACGGAATACCCCGCGGGGTGAAACCAGCGTGGGTCGAGGATAGCCGGCCTTCCATCACCTGGATGCTCTTGCGTAAAACGCGTGCAAGGCAGCTTGCACCGACCGACATGTGAGGGGGACCCGAAACACTTTGAGACGGCTTGAGCGAGATCCGTCAGAGCTAGCGTGGGTCGAGAATAGCCAGTCTTCCATCACCCGGATGCTCTTGCGTAAAACGCGTGCAAACAGCTTGCACCGACCGACATGTGACCCGAAACACTTAGAGAGGGCTTGGGCGAGATATACCTCTCTGGCCCCCCTCGGCGGCGGCGAGCTTGTACGTCTCTCACGCACCCTGCACCCCGCCGTCTCCTTAAGCGAGAGAGCTAACAATAAACTGGCACCCTAAGTTCCCAGCTTCTTTTTTTTTATAGAAAATGGCAAACGGAAACGCCACCACCGCATCCGGTACCACAGACTGCGTTCATTAGCATATTGTGAACAATTTTCGCATCTCCGGGTGTAAATTAATCACAATTAACTCTCGCTTCAGCCTTTAAAAGCTCGTGCTTGTTTAAAATTAAATTCGGGGACTTAAGCGGTTTGTTTGCACAAGTGTGCTTTTCGTTGGAGTTTTCAACCTTAAATATTGGTATATGAACCGTTTATAGCTTTGATGAGTGAACGAGCTTGCGGTCCGTCTGGTGTATCGAGGATACTATTTGCCTATTTCTGCCGTGAAGCAGTAATGCGTTTCGGTTTGAAGGGTGGGGCAGCCCTTGTAACTATACTGAGACCTTAGGACTTATATCTCAAGGTGGGTTGCGCATTTACGTTGTAGATGTCTATGGGCTCCAGTAACCACCTAACACCAGGTGGGCCATGAGCTCGTCCACCCACATAAGCAATAAAAAAAATAAAAAATACTGAAGCCCATAGACGTTAATGCCGCCACTTTAAGAGATGAGGCCGAATCCTCAATCGTATTGCATAACTGTATTTTTTTATTTTCCCTACCTAATTGCTGGTAGTCTAAGGGTTTATTTCAGCTACGCCCAGACCAGTAGGTGAGCTCACGGGCTCGACCTGAGAAAATTTGTTAAGGCCTTGGCCCAAGCAAAAGCAGGTCTTCACTGAATCTAGTCACCACACAGTATTTATGTATGTATGTTGTATACGAATGCAAAACGCTTTGAAAATTTCATGGGTCGATATAGATCTATTAAATTTTACTGGTGGTAGGCCGTCTTATGAGTCCACACACCATCCTGCCTATTTCTGCCGTGAAGCAGCAATGCATTTCGGTTTGAAGGGTGGGGCAGTAGTTGTACTGTAAAAACGGAGACTATAGAACTCATGTCTTAAAGTGGATGCCATTTAACACCAGGTGGGCCGTGCGCTTCTCCACCCATCTAAGCAAGGAAAAATAATACAAAGTAAATCCACCATACCATAGACTATTGTAATAAAAATGCAATTATTTACGAATCTTGTCCGTAATTATTAAAAAAAAAAATTGCTTGGAATTGAATCGATATCTGTTAACCCCTTAACACCGGCCGGATTGCAAGCTCGATCCCACAATAATTCGATTTAACAAAAAAAATGCTTCAAATAAGTCCCATTGTTTTGTGGCGTATATTATATTACTAAGTGATAATATTAATTACGCAATAGGAAATTGCATCAAGTAATATCTCCTACGAAGATTTTATCTATTTATTTGGTTGATTTAAATGCCTGAGATTCGTCCATACTTATTTGTGATGACGAGTCGTTGCAAGATAATATATAAACCAATTCTTCGGTTAAAAAATTGCTCTTAAATACAGATTATTTTATTTAAGTCGGCTCAGAAGTATTTATTGCGTGATTCTTCAACGAACAAATACGCAACACAAAGAAATGATAAATAATACAACACCGCTTCGATTTAGTTATTTAATCGATAGAAATAAATAATAAAAATTTAAATAAATAAATAATTGTTTTAATTTTAAGTTCAGTTTCAAATTATTTTATTATTATTAGTATAGAAAAAAAAATTGACGAAATAATAAATTTTTGTATAATACAAGTCTAAAAAAAACTCATCATTAAATAGTCTTGATCACTAATCATAAAAAAAAACAAAAGTGACTAATAATTTTATAACTTAATAATATGTTATTCCCTATTAATAAACAAAAAAAAACTCACCTAATTTTATATTTATTTGGAAGGCACCCCGATAAACACAGTGATTTTTTATTAAAACCAACACGAATATGCAGTTTTGTGACGTATAAAAATAAGTGACACGGTCAGTTACGATGAGTTCCCTTGGAGCACTGAGCGAAAACGATTGCAATCAGGACTCTTGGGTATTGACGAGTAGAAAAGCGTTTCATTAAAAACATTTTAAGCTTATTCTATTTAATTTTTTTCTACGATTTTTCTGAATCTGAATATTTTTGTATTTTACAATTTTCATGGTCACGGACGACTAAAGTGATTCGTGGATATTTTTTAATGTTGTGCGAATATGTGAAAATTGTGACTTATACAAAACGTCTGAAAAATCATAGTCACAACAAAAACGCGTATAAACCATAAAAGGAATGATATTTGTTTAGTTTTATGATGTAACGTGAATTTGAATGTTTAGACGTGTTTTTAATTAAAATCAAATAAAATCCTTAAATAATAAGCTGGCGATCAGATTTCAAACACAGACTGTTGCTAAAAAAATTTAATATCAGAGTGACTTTTATCCATATATCTTTTTAAGATTTATTGATTGTATTATTTAACAACTTTCGCACCCTTCAAATTGTAACATATTATTATGTATGTCCGCTTTTCCTTAGAAATAGGCAGAATGTTGGTGCCCATCCGGGTCCACAATACTTGTACTAGTTAAGTATGCATTTTATATTTTAGCGAGTTAAAATTTTTCTACACGACGTTATTGAGTGGAGGTCATTTGTGAACACGTGTTGAGTTCGTATTTTCTTAGAAAAACTTTTTTTCTACTGCTGTTACATTTGAACTTTTATTTGAAAGGATTCCCAATATAGTCGCATTACTCAGTACTACAGAAGTACTACTGGAATTCAGATGTTATAAATGCAACTTTTTCATATTTGAAAAACATCAGTATGCTAAAAGCCAAGATGGTTTCAAATAACCAGATGGGAGAAAAACCATCTTCAATTTTTATTATTGATAGCACCGAAGTCCGTCAATAGCTCTTGAGCAAAAAAAAAACATAATATTAATTGTCTAACTATTAATCCGAAGATACAAATATACCATGTTGCTCTCTTCTGTATATTATTACTACTGCTTCGTGATCTCATAGTATCTAATAACACCCACACTTTATTTTTCTGCCACTTAGATTTCGATCTCATATCTCTATGCGGCTGTATTCACATTATAGTGCCTATTGATTCTAGCAATCACATCACTCCAGGTGAGCGGTGATACATCATCCCAAACTATGCTATTAAAATCGCCCAATGCGTTTCTCACCGGATCTTCTTAGTAGGTCGCGATTCCGACTCGGTGGTAGATTCTGCAAAGCACTGCTCTTGCTAAGGCTAGTGTTAGCAAGTTCTCTCAGGTTGAGCCCGTGAGCTCACCTACCCGTCCGAACGTGGCTGGAATAGCCTCTTAGGCTACCAGCAAATAGGCAGGGAAAAAAGCTATCAGAATAATAAAAGTACAAATTAAAACTCAAGATTTAGGCTTAGACTTTTACAAGGGTTGTCACACATAAAAAATATTCAACAAAAACCCAAATTGCGCTAATGACAATTACAATTTAATTTACATATTATTATTCACATGCTCAGTAAGACAAGATTCAGACAGTTGATTTCTTATCCCCTTTATGTTGAAGAGTTAAAACGCGTTGAAACTGGAATCTACGAATGTAGGAAGTACAAGACTAATAAAGATTATTGATAGTTATCAAAACACATTGAAACGGTACAAAAAATAGCACGAAAAGAACAAGCTCGTGTATTTTATTTCATGTAACTAAACTTGTGCTTAAAGTATGTACCTAACAACTATGTCATCCTTATCTTTTGAATAACCATTAATACAAGACTATACTCGATCATCATCATCGAATATAGTTTCAATTAGAGAAGTGTATTTCTTTCTCAAGACATTGTACTCCTGTTCCCAAATTACCAATTTATTTTTCAAGACATCTTACTTCTGTTCTCAAATGACCGAAAACCCTTCATAATTGATCGTCTCGTCGTCCCATAAACATTCAAATCTCTTTTACAAAAGTCTTTGTTCGGTTCACCTCGCTTTATTGGGTAATCACATGGGCGTGCGAAATAAGGTAACAACCGAGATCTCAAATTACAGAATCATCGTGACGTTAAATGTCCGTCCACCGGTCCCCTAATAACCGAAATTCGACGCGCCGTTTTCGTACATCTACAGTTTTATGTAATCTAAAAGATCTGATTTTTGTTTAGCCTTTTTTTAATTGCATATATGGATGGAGCAGCTCACAGTCCGCCTGGTGTTAAGTGGTTACTGGAACCCATAGACATCTACAGCGTAAATGCTACCACCCACCTTGAGATATAAGTTCTAAGGTCTCAGTATAGTTCAACGGCTGCCTCACCCTTCAAACCGAAACGCATTACTGCTTCACGGGTATAGGCAGGGTGGTGGTGCCTACCTATGCGGACTCACAAGAGCGAATTATATTTTCAGAATACCTGTGATAATATACGTATTATAAAATCGACATACAATTGTTAATCAAATGATAATACTTTAAAACTTACATAGAAATCTATGGCATCAATTTAGAGCATCCTTGTTTCTGATGGTTCGAAGATTCAATAATTTTAAGATAGTACTTTTTTTTACAAAGAAGTTGGTTATTATGAGTATTCAGATAAGAAGAGAACTAAAATTAAATAGGAACTAACTTTCAGCTAACGCCTCTAAAGTAGTGAAAGATGACGTAATGAATGAATTTATTGATTACGTCAGAAACAATCTATTTATCGTGTGACCTCACTACCATTGGGATTAGCTTGTTCCTGTCTTTATACCACACTAATTTGTCTAAATAACAATTGTTAAGTGCTAATATAAAACTAAACAAAAAAATTGTCATTTGAAAACCATTACATTTTGTGGACTACAAAAAATAAATCTATTAAAGAAAGGTGCACTTTCTATAATTTCATTCCACTTACAAACAATGTCATGTGCATTTAAAAAAAAAACGGTTGTCTGTAAAGTCGGTTTACTGACGATAGTTGAACGTGACAACGTCATAAGAAAATACTGATGGAATGGTTTCATTTATCAATTATCGCAATTAACGTTGCTATAAACAATTGACACCACATTCACTTTTCACTGAACTTCATCCTTGACGAAAACATGTACGCCTCAGAGCGAGGTAACGCCGCATGAGTCATGTTTTTTCGTGCGTGCAGCCGGCTCCATCGAATTATAAGACGTTGTCACCTCAAAAAACTTCACAGTTACAATTTTTGCTACTGCATTTCGTTAAGCTTTGCAATAACAATTTTTAGTACTGCATTTAATCTTGCTTAATAAAATTATATATGAGAACTATATGTAATTGAAAAATATCAAAATTTCGTATTTAACTAGAAATGTTTTTGCCACAAAAAAAAAGGTATTAAGAATCGCGTTATAGCATGAAACACTTTTCTACACGACAGTACCCGGAGCGGCCTTATTCGAGCGTCCATCAAACACACAGAACAACACATTTATCATGTTAAAGTTTATCTTGTTCTCAAATTGTAAACAAACTTAATTGACGCTAGGAAGAGATACATCTAATTACATTGGCTTGGTAACAAACATTAATTAATTAATATAATGTAATATTGTATATAGTTCAGCTAGGCTTTGTTACTGAAGCTTTACTGCAAATCATTTTAGGCAGCGGATTGGCTCTGCCCTTCACATTGCTGAAGTCCATGGGCGATGGCAACCACTCACCATCAGGTGGGCCGTATTCTCGTCTGCCTACAAGGGCAATAAAAAAAATTACAATAAATGTTTGATTCGTCCAACCACTTATCTTTTACAAACACAAGTCTTCCAGTATTTCCAACCCTTATTAGCAAATCTAACCGTTAGGACGACAACCTAGAAGATGGTCATAAAACGATAACCCAAGTTACTTTACCATACAAATGTAAATTGCATAGACCCTAGATTTCTTAAAGATAGACCAGCCTACTAGCTACTTTATCCGCAATGTACAAGGAAACCTTACAGAACCTTTTAGTAGAAGAAACGTAAAATACAGTAAAATTAAAAACACACCTTTACTTCTTAGTTTTATTAATAAAATACTAAAAATAGAATCCGAGCAAAATGAAATCAATTGTGATGGTCATAATGGTATTGTGAAAAATTGTGGGCTATTTTTTGTTTGCTGATTAATATGCCTATATCATAAGTAATTCCTATCTTACTTCTGGTAGGTAATTTCCGCGAATTATATGAAAATTACTTATTACTTTCTGTACACGGCTTCGCTTGCGTTGACTACACTTTATATCGCGTGAGCTGAAACCCATGATCAACAGGACCATGATTTTTTTCTAGAATGCATAATGTTTAAATACTGTTTTTTTTTCAAATCGGCTTTGTGTTTTGAACTTGAAAGCATAACAATTTTTATTTAGTTTGTAGAATAATATTAATTATTTTAATATGTAACTTTTAACACCTACTGAAGGCAAATTCTAAAAATATTTTAAAACTATAAGTCCAACAAGTAACAATTACAAGTAAGTAATTAAGACAAGTAAGTGCATTGAATAGTTCGGACGGTGTGCGCGAACAAATAAAAAGACAGAAAGCAGCTATTAAATCGGTCAATCTTGATCCATCTCTCTTTTATAGTTCACTTTCTATATATTTCTATTGCCTTTCTTCATGTAAAGACACCGGATTCTGGTGTTTTACTACGATATATATATTTATATTGATGATCTTATTATACACTACTAGCTGTAACGTCCGCTTCGCTAAGCATTTAAAATTAACATTATTATTTCTCACCCCCACAAAGATTCTCGTCATTAACGCCCCCGCAACTGGCGTAGGGAGTCCAACACTCAATAAATATTAGCCTATCCATTAAGTAGATGTATTTTCTACATGGATACATAGTTTCAAGTCAATCAGATGCATGGTTCAGTAGTTAAAACGGAATATCCGTAAAAACCACTGTAGATTTATGTATTAGTATAGATATAATAATAAATGTTATGTTT